CTTGCCGTCTTGCGTCTCAGTTTTTGATTGTATTGAAAATGAAATAATTTTTTCATGAGGAATTTAGTATTAATACTACTATAATTTTGCTGTAGTGATCATATTGTCCTGACGATTGTTTTGTACACTGTTCATAATGGATTTATAAACAGGTAAGATTTCAAAACATTAATCTCAATTCAATATTTCATATCCCTGTATTTATATATTATTATAGGTAAACAAAAAAAAATCTGCTTCAAGCTTTGCGTTAATTACAAGTGAGATAACGAAATATTTAATCTCTAATCAATATTTTTTGTCCAATTATTTGCCCAGTTAGTTTTGGTACTGAGGTAAAAGTTGCCTTGCATTCGCTATAACAGTGGGTGGTGGTCATGAAGATGACTTTGCAGCGAATTTCTTCTTGCAAGATCTGCAGTTAGGGTGACCATCCTCGATGAGGTGACCGTCCTCGATTAAATTGCCTTCAGGACTCTTGCAAAAGCCAAAATACGACCAGACCACCGATTTGGTCCTCTTAGATGGCTGAAAAATCACCTGAGCGCTGTCACTGCCTTCTGCCATTTCGTCTCGTGCAAAAAAAACAAAAAAACAACAACATTGCATGCTGCTTCTGCGTCAGACTGATGCTGGCTGGACAGGATTTACCGCGAGTTTTCAAAATCGTGATAATTAAATACGGTTTTGCTGATAATTAAATTTTAAACGATAGTACTAACCGTCAGGGCATTTTATCGTGATTTATCGTGAAACCGGTAATCGTTCCATCCCTAGTATATACTGTCTATACATTATCCTGTCCTAGATTACCTTTCTTTGTTCTTTAATGCACCATTAAAAATGCACCAGCTTACAAGTGATCTTACAAATCTGTACATTAAAGTATCAAATACAGTATAATACAATTTATTGATAGCACATGGTAAACACAAAATTGCTCTTTCAAACTATTTGAAAACAGAAAATATGCACCATCCATTGATCTATCAGTAGATTTTTGAATAAAGCAAGAATAACTAACACTTCTGTTCATTTACCAAGAAGACAAAAATACTAAAATATGGAGCAATTAATCTCCCCGGTATTACATATAGGCTAAAATCTATTACAAATTAAAATACACAGAGGACCTGAAATTCTTCACTGCCGTCTTTGAAGATGACACAAAGTTCTTGTTACATTTCTCTTTTTCTAAAATGTTATCAGTGCGATTATGAACTGTTATGACTGAGGTATTTATTAATACTTTTATTCTGTTACTCTCTTTCTTACCCCTCTCAGGTATTTTAGAGACGAAGAGGCTGGACATTGTCCACACACAAGGTCCCATCCCGCAGTCACTCAGTGGAGTTACATACTATGCAGCCGATCTACCCATATGGTGGCAAGTGCCTCAGTACGTCCTCATCGGTGTCAGCGAAATCTTTGCTAGTATTGCAGGTAGGTGGCCCTTTGGAAAACACTGCTGAACACGCATACAAAGCTCTCAACTTCACAAACAGAGCATATGAAGCGACCATGTTCTGAATTTTTGTTGCATTTTTTTGTAATTAATACATTTTTTTAAGGTTTCTTGCACCAAAAATATTGCACTAAATTTATTGTATAAAATGTTTGCTTCTGTACTTTTAAGACTGCTGTATATAAATGACCACTGTTATGATTAACCAACCTCTTCACATTTGATCCAGAAATCTGAATATGATTAGGTGTTGATATGTACAATAGACATGGACTGTCAAACCTTATTGTGTTCATGGTTGTGGTGTCAGTACAATTTCTGAATGTCTAATTTTTGCAGCAGCATGTGAACATAATTCACTGGTGTATTAAAATTGATGTTTTCCATGAAATGGCCCTTTTAACATTTAGTGGTTCATGAGGTGATACTGAGCCTGGAAAGACATTTGAGAGGCAATGATCATGATGAGAAACACCTACAGCACATTTGTGCTAATATTTTGATGGTAGAATTTAGTTTCTCATCAACTAAGATCCATGTAATGAATAACTCATATGGATGAGTAAACGTACAGCATTGTTTTAACATGAGTGTCCTTTCAGCTCTCGGTCTCTTCTGTGTACTGTAGAGTTTTGTTTTGTTTTTTTCCATAGGATCATTCATCTGTCCTAATGACCATGCTAATCAATGCGTGTCCTTTTAAAAACTGCAGTAAACTCCTCTCTGCCTTGCCTTTGTGTAGTAGCTCTTGTCTGAGCCATTGCTGAAATTGCTTGCTAAGGAATCCATGGCTGTATCAATCACGACCGATCGATCTGGGCTTGGCGATACATTACTGCAGTTGCGCAGTTAAGACGGCCAGGGAAAACATCCCGCTCCTGCTGGAATACACTAAGAAAATATCAAGAAAGTCTCAAGCAAGTGGGCTTGAGATTAATGAGAAAATAGATGAAAGGAAACTAAATCCCTTAACACAGCGTTTGTAAGAAAAAAACTGTGTGGACCTCCTATTACCACCTTCACTGCTGAGATCTACAGTAATTACAGCAATTTCTGTCATGATGAGAATCTTAAAGAATTTAATTCCACTTAATAAATCTGGTTTCTTAATGATTCCATCAAGAATTAGATTTTGTACTTTTGAGGTAGGACCACATAATTGCTAATTATAATAAATATTATAGTTCATTAGTCTTGTTCCAAACTCATGCCATTTGCTGCGATAGCATTTACACTGATTTCAGTATCTCAAACCTTTGAAATATAGTTATGCTAGTTTTTGTATAGTTTATTTATTATTATTTTTTTAGTTGTTTATGACTTTGTGGTTCAGTGAGTGTGTCAGATGTTCATTCTGTAATATTCAGTGAGTGGCTGAGTGATCCGTTTAAGGCTGATGAGTTTAAGATTCATTAGTGAGTCATTTTGACTAGTTTGTTAAAAAGAACCAGTTCAGAAGAGTCATCAATTAATGAATCAAGCTACACTGGTCGCACTGTATGTTTGCTGTTGTTGTTAAAATTATGGTTAAAGGTTGTCGAATCCCAGCTCAGTTCCCTTATTCTGGTCGTTTTCTAGAGGTTTACAGGATACAGTTATGGATGGCACTTGTCTTATTTGTGTTCGCTGTATCAGCTTTATATTTACCGCTGGTTATGTGCGCACCTGTCTGTCGTCCATACACATTTTCACACAGGTTAGCATGATCTTTTCTGCCCAAACACAGCTGTGTTCATTTCGACCCTTCAGCTTCTCTTCCAAGGTCATGACACACACCACACCGGTAATTTCACACCCATTTCACGCACAGAGTAAATCAAAGGCTGCACGTCCCCCCTTTTAGCCTTTATGAGCCAACAAGACTAATAAGTAGCATTTGGCAAAGGCAGGGAAAAACACTCTCTCTTCATGCTGAATTGTAGAGAGCACAGTGCTGATTACTGGATTTCTTTTCTACCCCCTTAGAAGAGGTGTTTCAAATCAGATTTTCGCCCATGGCTTATGCTCCTTCAAATAACGGGATGTTTTTTTTAGTCGGGACAATCCTGCAAGGACATTCAAGGTCTTTGATAGAACTATGGAACTATGGAACTATGGAAGTGGCAGCTTTCATTTTTGAAACCTCATTGCAAAGAGAATGAAAATTCAATGTGGAAAATTTTGAGAGAGGAGTACCAGAAAATTCAGAAGTGGTTAAAGGAAAAACAGAAGGAGGAAAAGTAGAGATACATTTACAAGTGTGATCAGTCTTGGAACTGAAGAAATCAAGAAACTTATTACAGAGGTGAGTTGAAGCAGAAACATTTGAATAACTTACATTTGAGTAGTTTGTTGATAGAATTAAACAATTGTCTAGGGTTATTCTGATTGTTGTCAATGATTTGTGCAAAATAAGCAGACCTAGCCGATACAATTTGAGTCTTATATTCAAGTAAGTGGTCTTTTCAGGCCTGGTGATGGACAGTCAAGCCAGATGTACACTACCTACAATCCATTGTACAACACGATGCCTTCATTGCACGCAGATTATCATTATACCAAGTAGAATGGTATAATTATCAAATGGAGATCAAATGGAGAAAAAACTACTTAAAGAAGAGCCAATAAATTCAGAGAAATCAGAGGGTTCAGTAGATCTCCATTTGCGATAGTTAATAATGCAAGAAGAGGTAGTGTTTATGTCGGGCAGTTCCATATTAAAAAAGGCTGCCAGATGATCAGACTGTTCTAAATCAGAGGTGGACAACTGAGACACAAATTAGGCATTTAGGATCATTAAGTCAAGAGTGTGACCTTTATTATGTGTAGGACAGTCCACGAGCTGGTTCAATTCAAAGCACTCCAATAAAGATAAAAATTGTAGAATATTTTATATCCATATGGATGTTAAATTTCAAGCACAACAAGGACAACATATCTGCAAATTCAGATAAGACATATTTATCTTATATGGCCTGTAGACTGTAGCTATGGCAGTGGACAAGAGGCAGACACAGATGTTTAGTTTGTCATTATACAGCACAATGATACCCCCACCTCTACCAGAGGGTCGCGGGAGATCAAATAATCCATATCCAGCAGGAGTAAATTCATGAAAAAGTAGACCATCTGACTCTTTGTGCCAGGTTTCCGTTAGACACACTAGGTCCAATTTTCCTTCTATGATAATGTCAGATTATATCACAGCCTTGTTGTTGAAATAGTTTGCATTGAAAAGCGCTGATTTCAATAGACAAGAAGGAGCAGATGAAACCAAAGCAACCTGCTCATGCTTAAGAGCCGACAAGTTGTTCAAATTAACCCTCATAGGCCTAGAGAGCAGCTTATGGTGTGTGGAGTATGTTCAACGAGAGTGATGAAAGGCTGTAAAGGACAGGTTTTGCGGAAAGCCCTTATATGGAGATGGTTTGGGAGTGTTTTATGCAAATGACTAACCTGCAAATGACATGGCCACTCATTTCAAATACTCCAAGTTCATTAACATTAGGACGAGGTTAAGAACAAATTCATGTGTGTTCGCAGGTGTTGTGAATTAGACTGTAAGTTTTCTTGAGAAGTTCAATTGTGCGAATATATACAAATAATCTATGCAATTATTAGTGAATGAGACCCATTGTCTAATTATTTTTATCAAAATCCCTGAAAATGTCAAGATATTTTTTCGATACTGCACACCCTTTGTGTTCAGTATTAATTTTTTATTTCTTCAGGTCTTAAAATGGTCCTAAAAAGCCTTAAATTGAATTAAAAAATGTGCAGGAACCCTGTACAATATATTTAACGGTAAAATAGGAAAAAATACAAGAAACAGAACTGAGCTGACCAGCAATACAACCACAAATGAAAAGACCAATGTTATTGTAAGGTTGTTGTAAGTTACACCACATGAAACATTTCAAAGAACTTGGCACTGGAACATGAATTAGATCATTGACCAGGTTGCCAGTGCCAAACACGGTCTGTGTGAATGTAGCCTAAATTTAAATACATGCCTGTTTTATACTTATACACCCATAGGACACCTCTCCCTTTGAGACTCTTGTTCTTAGAAACATTTTTCCCCTCAATGCACACATTTCATGTATATGATTCTTAACCAGAAACATCCTGGCACACAAAGTTAAATAGCAGCATTCTACCCTCTTTTTGTTAACACAGCAGTCCACTCCAAATGAAACAAGCAACACTTTTGTTTTCCCTTTCTCTTTCTTTTACTTTCTTGTGGGGATAGTGGCTGTCCCTAACAGTTAACATCTTCATTTCATTTTTTATCTGCGGACCCAGAAAAAATTGAAAGAAAAGAGGCACAGCGCTGGTGGAATAATATGTGTCCACAGTGGACGTAGCGGCCTCTGATTGAATTTCCAGCAGAATGGGGAGATGGGGAAGGCTAAGTGTAATCTTCCGCTCCTCCATCACGTCTTCAGGGGTTCGAGTATTGTGGAAAGCTATAAGACACTATCTGCACAGGCACTTTTTAAACCTGAAGAGAGCCATCAAGCTATGAGAATCAATACAAGAGGCAGCCCGCCGCTTCCTGATCACAGACAGCTGTGAAATGATAGAGAAATTGGAGAGGTGCGAAGACTGCCTCAAAAATATTAAGATTAAAGCCGCCGAATAGCATGCCACCTTCTGAAATGAAGATAAATTTTGCCTTTCTCATTTTCTTGAATAATCCTTTTACATCTGAACATGATTGGAAAAGATGGCCATGGCCAGAGATTGTTTGACGCAGTGCGAATCATTCTACGAACATCCGTCACGTAGTACAGTGTACTTGTGCATATGATTTTGTCATGTAAATTGAGTATATATCTTGAAAGAAAATTTCTTCATCTCTGAGAAGGACGCTAGCATGCTAATTCACAAGTTTATCCAGAAGCTCAGCTGCAGGACTTTTACTCGTCAGTTACGAAACAAAATATCTTGTCACTAGATTTTTTAGGGAGAAAAAACTCCTCAACTACTTCGGGCAACCAGACTGAGATTTAATGTGATTGCAACAACAGCTAAACACAGGTTTGTCTCTGATAACTTCATGTCTGTGCGGCAGTGTGCTGACACACTTTCGTAGTCAGCTCTCTCCATCTCACCCCAGGTCTCCAGTGTTCCAGCCCTCCCATGAAATGCAAATGTCTCTTGATAGCACGGAGGACCCTTAAAATAAAGCCTCACCACTCCATCCCTACCCCTGGGGAACCTCCAGGAAATTGGATGACAAGAAATGTGACAAATGTCTCTCGAAAGTTCCCTCCTCTGGCCCTATTCTGTTTGAATAAATCCTTTTTAATGGACTCTACTGCCGGCTCGCTTTGTCGTGGGCTGTTGGATGACAGCGGAAGCGGAGTTGATTCTGATTTTTCAAATTTTTGTAGACACACACTTGCATTTACACACACACACTACCTGCGGGCGATGTGTGTGGACTCTAGTTGAGGGGACAGACCTAAAACCTGATTCTTTTTTTTCCTCCACTGGGAATTGTAATTATATATCGTTCTCTCCGAAAAATGTTAAAGGCTAATGTTTTTTCAGAGAAAGAAAAATCGCCCACTGCCTGACTCTGCGAGGGGAAAAATGAAAGCAGAACATTTCAAGTTAAACTTCTTTTCTTGGATTTGAATAATTCAGCTCTGAAGTTAGAAAAGGTCAAGTTTTATATTTTATTTTTCTTCATGCGTGATATTGTGGATGGTTGTGTTATTAGACTCTTGTTGCCATGCTCACGACATTGAGACACCTTATGGCTTTCCTTTTTTCCTCTCTTTAACCCGTACGCTGTCTCCGCTACTTAACCAATGCAAGGCAAGTCTTTTGCATTAGGGTTCATTTATTAATCAATCCAATGATCTCAGGCCTTCATCACATTGCTTGACACTGTTTTGACTCCCACATGGGAGGGCAGGATTATGAGGTTGGTAGGTAGAAACAAAGTCAGCAATGTATGGAGGAAACAATAAAAATAGTGAAAACAAACTAAAGAGGAAACATGCAACGGTCAGGTCAAACAGGGTCAAGACTAAAATGGTTTGAACCAAGTGCCATATAAAATGTTCACATACATTAACGTTCAAAAGTTTATTGAGCAGCAAATCAGCATATTAGAATGATTTCTGAAGGATCACGTGACACTGAAAACTGGAGTAATGATGCTGAAAATTGCTGCCAGTGGTGTTTGTTACTCAAAGAGGTCAATGCACTGGTCATTAGAGTCATGTAAAAAGTACCTTTTAGATTCAGATTTCTATATTTATGTATTCAAATAATGTAAATCCAGTGATTTTAGAAAAACGGAGCTCATGACATTTTTTCAGTCTTCACTGATTTTGAACAGTTGCTGTTGTTTTAATAGTGTTTCTTGAGCCCAGGGCTTCTCAAGCATCTGATCGTTGTCGTCTAAGGACGCAGACACAGTCTTTTATGACACAAACAGCACTTAGAAGAGGTCAGCCATGCCTGCAGACAGCTATAAACACTGTAATAGAGCAGCTGCGTTCCTTCATCTCTCTATTTCGCTTCTCTTTTTCTCTCCGCCCCTCCTGCCTCCACATCTCCTAATGTGCGTTTGTTTCAGAGGAGTGTGAGCGTGGGATTGTGGGACGGGATTAGATGATCTCTTTTGCTCTGTTTGGTGGAGTCCCTCCCTCTTCTTTTTATCTGTTTTACCCTTGTGCTTTCTCTCTCTCTCTCTCTCTTTCTCTATCCATCCATCTATCAGAGAAGATTCATGGCCTAACCAGGCTCAGTAAACGAGTCTGACAGTTGTGCCCACAAGCCATAATTTTAAAAATGACAAGTTTGAGGCGCCATGAAATTATCAATGTCAGCCAGCAGGCAGCCACCACTCAGGGTTAAAAAGAGATTTGATCTTTTCTTTCTCTTCTGCGTCCTTTCTGCATCCACTATTTTCTGAACTACTTCATTTTTTCTTTCCCCCACTCAGCATCCTCATTATAGTACTTTTTATCCCTCTTTTTCTTTCCGTCTTTTTCAATAAATATTTAGGGGTGTGTGCTGATTTTGGCAGATGAGTAGGTGTTTCTGAGTGACAATTTCTGAGTCACACCTTTAGAGTGCTACGGATGTATGGACACACACACACACACACACACACACACACATTCACCTCCAGACATGCCATAGCAATTTAATAGTCTGATGTCTCTGAAAAGGTTTTCTTGTTTGCTTTAGGAATGTTAACAATGTATGGAGAACTAGGAATTCCACTTAAAAATGATCATAAATCAGTTATCAATTTATTCATTCAAATGTTAAAATGTAAATAAGTCACAAACTGACAAATACATATACATGTGAACATTTCATAAAAAAAACAAATTCTAATGTTAAATGTAGAAATAAAATACATGAACTAATTTTTAAAAATGAACCTTTTACATTTTATTTTTAAAAAGCTTTTAAAAAATAAACATAATTTACAGATTACTTTTCTTTTTGGTTGTATAAATGTTGCATTTAAAGTTATTCATCAAGTTATTGTTTCGTTTTAACTACATTTCTAAATACATTTATATATTTGTCAGTTTAGTTTTTTTAAATTAGTGCATTTATAATAAATTTCTCCTTTTTATTTGAAAGTGGCGCTCCTGGTCCACCAAAACACAGGGTGAATTTGCTAAACATGCACATATGTTGCATATCAGGCTCTGTATGCTTACGTTTAGCGCTGCAACATGTTTATTTAAGTCATTGACTTTTTTTTTTGCAAAACACTCCTTCCTTTGCAAAAGAGGCTCATTATAGATCATGTTTTATTCACAAAAGTCAGAGCTGTTTGCTTGTTGGATGATACAACAGTATAGAAAGTTTATGCAAATAAATGGCACTTTTATTCCAATTCATTCGTAGTATCCCCCTGTGTCTTTGTCTGCGAGCACATGCTGTTACAAATGAAACTGCTTGTCATTTTTTTAACCATGATTTTTTCCACAAGACTGTGTTTTTGTGTATGTGTAGCATAGAGTCCCTTGGATGCTTTTGAGTTTCTGATCATGCATTCGAAGTAAACGTCAGACTTTCATCTCTGATTTCTGCATCATTTTCTGTTTGTAGGTCTGGAGTTTGCCTACTCCGCAGCTCCTCGCTCCATGCAGAGTGCTATAATGGGCCTGTTCTTCTTCTTCTCCGGCATCGGCTCCTTTGTGGGATCGGGACTACTTGCTATCGTCTCTCTCAAAACCATCGGCTGGATGTCCTCGCATAAAGACTTCGGTAAGACTTGTGTGAGAGAGAGCGTTAGAAGGTAGAACAAGATATGTGAATAGCACTGCACAGCATGTCTGGGATGAAACGGATGTAGCTCACCTAGTTTTTGAACAGTGTGTCTGTTTGAATGAGTGTGTGCATGAATATAAATGCAATTGTGTGTGGGTCAGGATTTGCCTGTATTTAGGGGGACCAAATGTCCCCATAATGATTGTAAAACCTAAAATAGATGCACTGTGGGGATTTGTGAGGAAAAGGGCTTGATAAGCATACTTAATTATGACTTAATGAAAATGTAAAATGCAGAAAGGTTTGTGTAAGAGTCAGAGAGGATAAAAAATATAATTTAGCTCAGTATAAACAATAAAAGTCCTATTCCAGCAGATTGGGTCTCTAAGATACACAACTTTAATTAATCGTCATTCATAAAACCAATGATGTTAAAATATCCTGAAAATCAATGACTTGTATGTTCCATCTTGATGAATGAAATCGATGATGAAAGATGGTCCCTGATCAGCATTCTGTTTAAATGCAATGTATTGTAATTATGCCAAAGGAGAGGTCGTTCCTTTCAGTTCTCGGGTCGTGTCAGAGATGAAGTGACGAGGTGAGCACATGTGCTTGATGGATGATGTGTGTTTTATGTGTGCGTGTGCACGTACGACGGCTTGAGTGCAGTCATCTCTAACTAAACCTAGGAGGCGATTGCCCATTTGGCCACTGTTTATGTCATATTTTGTTGGCCAAAAATCCAAAATGGACCCCTGATTTCTTAAATAAATGTCCCGACTCCCTAGTCTAACTGTTCATCAATTGTCAATACATGCTGTTATTTTGTAGAAAAATGGTTGTTTTCACACACTTTCATCAAAGTGTAATAACTCTACAGTACCTCCTAAAGGCAAAAAAGAAATATCAACCAATAATATCACAGCCTATATTTCACCCCCACCCACTTTTCAGGATCTAATCAAATCCAGATGAAGTAAATCAAGTTCTGTCCTACATTTTCTGCTGAATAGTGTTTTGCTTATAAATGTGCCACATTCTGTTACTCGTGTTGGCAGTTTCATGTTGTCTGGAGTAAAGTAAACTTTTGAAGTGTCAGGAGAAAGAAAGCTGTACCTGAGTGCCAGGTCTCGTATTATGAATGCACATGCTAATTAATGGTCATGTCAGGCTTACACTAAAATCGGTGTGTAAATCCGTCGCAGCGGGGACGATGAATAGCACAAAGGAGACAGTAGATGGATGTGATTGCCATTGCAATGACAGCTCAATGGTCCAGATGTACTCCCACCCATTCTGTGCATCTGAGGCAAATGAACAGTTTACGCACAAACTACTTCAGCACCCATTAATACAGCACACCAAGACAGGTGTGAGGCATTTCTGCTAATGGCAGCAGTGAGAGTACATGTACTTTAAATCTGTCCCTCTTTGCTCTGTTTGTTTGGCAAGCATCATTGGGATATTAGAGTGGGTCTTAATATGAATTATATGACACATTGCTTTTTCCCCCTCCACTTTTAGTGATAGAAGAGAGAGGGCAGGAAATGAAAAGTTGAAGAATTAAATTTACTCTGAAGGAACAGTCAGACTCGAACCCTGTAATGTTCATTTGAGCACCACATGCTTTAATATGTGCTTTAAGGGGGTCATATGATGCTATTTCAATTTTTCCTTTCTCTTTGGAGTGTTACAAGCGCTTGGTGCATAAAGAAGATCTGTAAAGTTGCAAAGACTAAAGTCTCAAATCCAAAGAGATATTCTTTATAAAAGTTAAGAGTCAACCACGCCTACCTAAAACGGCTCGTTCTATCAAGCCCCCCTGCGGGCCGCGCCGTTCCTCACTCAAGCCCGCCGCCGCTTACTCTAGCCCGCCGTGTGTGACGCTGTGTGTTTCATTGTGAAATCAAAACTACTTTGTTTGGTGTTCCAAAAGAGGACACGACTAGAAATCAGTGGTTAAGTTGTATTTACAACACTGTTCCAGAACAGTTCAACCCAAATATTCAGATGTGTGCAGCGCTTTTTATGGAGGACTATTTCCTAATCCTGGGAGAGTAGCCTACAATGCTGGCTGTTCTGACTCACAGCCTGTAAGTACCTTTTTTATATTAAAGAATTTGCCACTGATGATTCAAACGTGAGTTTTGAGCAGTGTAGAGTAGCGCTTGTTGTTTGTCATTTCTCTGATCACAAATGCAGACAGAGTTTTATGTTTACGTGGCGAGATGCAACGCAACGTGTAAAAAGAGAGTATAAGTCATTATAATCCGTAAATATGTCCCCACTGGATGCAACAAATGCCTCGTTTATAATCGGTTTTAATGTTTGTGTCGCTTTGGCCGGGACACGGTGTCACAGTATGGTAAGGGCCGTAACATTTCTGTCACACGCTTGAGGTATTCCACCAATCACAACGCACCGGATAGCTGGCCAATCAGAGCACACCTCGCTTTTCAGACCGATGCGTTTTGCAAAAATCGATGCATTTCAGAAAGGCGGGGCATAGAGGAGAAACAATAATGTACAGTATGTGGAAAATAATGTGTTTTTTAACCTTAAACCGCATAAACACATTTCATTACACCAGATACACAAAATAATGTTAATTTTAGCAACTTCATGACCCCTTTAATATAATAACTATTCTTTTTTTTTCATTATGTAATTTTTAGTGATAGCAGAGACTAGAGAGAGGACAGAAATTATGAGGACAAGTGGAAAGAACAGAATCAGGATGTGATGCAGCAAGACTTAAACCTGCCATGTCCATATGAGCACAACATGCTTTAATATGATTTATTTATTTATTTTTGACAAATTGCTATTCTTTATTTTCCTTTTTGCCACTTTTAAGACCATGACACACCAAACCAGTGGCTGGCCAAAGTCGGTCCATCGTTGAGCATCTATCAGCTGAGTTTTTGCAGTTTGTTCCACACCGATGGTGGGTTTTTGGCTGATTGAGCATGTTTAATCAGCTTCTGGCAGTTGCTGAAAGAGATCACTCTGATTGGGTGTTCAGCTTGGAGATCCATTGCACAAAATAAAAATAAAAATGATGAAAGCAAGGGAAACCGATAAAGTCAAGAGGGCACACACCAAATGCTCTTTGAATTTTATATCTTATCTGCATATTGGAATGTTTAGGTATTTTCATAACAACTAGTGGTCGACTGATATGTTTTTTTTTTATGGCTGCTGCTGATATCTTATAGAGCAGGGTGGCTGATGGCTGATGTAAAGCCAATATATATGATATGACAACATTTAATTTATATATAATAAAGCAAACAGGCATGACTACTGCTGAAACTAAACTATTTACTAATTTATATAATTAAAAAGGAATGAAAAAATATAACGCTAAATAATAATGCTTCAAATAATATGAAGTTCACACATTAATAGAACGCCGCATATAGACTAAAGATCTTGGTAATAAGAAGTTATATTAGTATCGATTATAAACGAGAATTGTTATTGTTAATGTCTTCACAGCTGACAGCTTTACCTGTTGTAGTTCGTTCAAGTTGTGCACGAAGTAGACACTGCTTGCCTGCACTTTTACTTCACATGTCTCCGTCATTTTTGATCTCTCTCATGCTGCACAACTGGAATCTGCTTTTAGCAGGTGTGCCGTTAGCGCTGGTGTCTGGCAGAGATGAGGACTGTTTGAAAGCATTTTTTTTCGACTAAAACTTTAATAGCATCGTCTCCCTTTATTACGTCAACATACCAAAAGATGTGATTGCAAAACAAGCAGGAAAAAGGCATTATATGCAAATCTTTAAATCATAACATGTAAATTTATATAGTTGCCAGTGTCGATCTCAGCCAAAATATCTCTCGCAAATTAATATTTTTGGTCACAAACTCGCAAATGCGACTGTTTTAGGTGCAGTCTGGAGCCCTGGACTTGTAATCTTTGCAGTGTGTTCAAGCCAGCCTGTTTTGTCCCAAACTATGTGAGGCAACAACTAAGTCGGTTTTCATCTCCACTAGTTCTGTGATGTCAGTATGGTGTGTCATGGCCTTTTGTGATACTAGAAAGTTGTTGTTTTTTTATTTTTGGCCAGCAACATAATGTTATTCTTTATCTCTGCTGGTTACTCCATTACTGTTCTCTCTCCATGTTTCCTGTGGTGTTGGACTCTGCAGGAAACGAAGTGAGCGAACGAATTATGCAGCGCTGAGAAGAGAACTTTCAAAGTGAATGTACACACAGACGCTATCCAAGCCTGTGGCAATTTACAGACTCCAACTTTTATGGGATCAGACGCCCAGGTATTAATCACTAGCTGCAGGGCCTGATTACCCAGCATTCAGCTCAGTAACACACTCTAGCACTTATTTTCACAAATTTGAGTGTCCTCTCAGTATACCATTTAGCAGACCAAACCTACCTCTCGGGTCGCATGCGAGGGTGAGTTCGACACTCACTCTCTTACTGTTAAAATCAGCACTTGACAATAATATTTGTAACACTGGAGGCAGTCGGCCCACAGGGCTATCGGCTACCGCTCACACAGCATCACGGGGTCACTTATCGCGCTGATCACCAGAGAGCTTCCATGGTCCCCATAGGCTAGCAGGTGTAAATCTGCAACTTGTCGTACATCTATGCTAATCCTGTGCTGCTTTTGGCATGCTAAAGGCAAAGGACAAACACTATCCACTTGCTTTTATCAAAGAAGTTTTTTCTTTTTCCTTTTTTGGATATTTTTAGTGTCTGTACTTTACTTACCATGCTGACACAGTTCTAGCTGTTAGACAGTTTGCGTGATAAATCCTCTCAGATATGATTTTTTAAATTCATGCATTTTTCACACATCACAACTTGTACTGTTTCTTTGAGTGTCTCATGCCATGATTACTGCATTTTTAATTTGTCAAGTTAAAAAACTTAGTTTAAAAACACGTCGGAAGACCCCTGCATTCTGTCCAATTCTGTTGTTCTCCTTCTGGTGTCTTATGTAAAGTTCCCTTAAAAA